ACACTTCCAGGGATGGGGCAGCCACAGCTTCTCTGGGCAACCTGTGCCAGGGCCTCACCACCCTCACAGGGAAAAATTTCTTCCTAATATCCAGCCTAAATTTCCCCTCTTTCAGTTTGTACCCATTACTCCTTGTCCTATCACTTCAGTTCCTGACAAAGACCTCCTCTCTGGTTCCTTGTATTCCCCTTCAGATACTGGAAGGTGCTCTGAGGTCTCCACACAACCTTCTCTTCTCCAGGCTGAGGAGCCCCAACCTTTTCAGCCTGTTTCCATAGGGGAGGTGCTCCAGTTCTTTGATCAACTTTCTGGCCCATCCAAACCCCAAAAAGTCCCCAACATTGTGTTTCATCACCTGAGGACAATCAGTGAACGTTTCCTGCCCTGTGGAGCCCAGGTTGCCAATGCAAAGCATTAACTGGAAAAGAGAATTTTAGGTGGACACATGAAAACAGCTGAAGCGTTGTGACTTTTCTGAAGTGTGAGCAGTCTGCCCACTGCTCCAAAAATAGGAGTTTGCTGTGAAGAGGAGCTTCTACTCCAGGAGAAGAGAACCAGCTTGAGAGGATAAAGATCCATCCGTGAGGATGACCCCAACCCTGCTGTAGCCTCTGGGCTGAACTTGCCACCCTCTTGAAGTCAACTCTGCACTCTGCTGCTCCAAACACAGAGTCTGGAGCTTAAAAATAATTTACTACTTTTGGTTTAAATAACACAGCCATTTTCTGTGCACTGTAAAAGTACTGATTTTATGTATTTTTAAATGTTTATATAAATTTTTACCTATCTGTTCCATAATTTAGAAAACCAAGGGTTGCTCATAATTACTGCAAGTAAAACAAGAAATGCCAATAGCAGGCCTTTAGCAAGACACTGGGAATATGGTTCTCCTGCAAAAGAGAAAGAAAAAAAAAGTGTAAGTGTATGAGAGCTAAATTTTAGTTTAGACAACAACCCAAGGATACAGATTAAAATATACACATTAATGCAGCACAAAGCAAGGAAGTAAAATGCTTCATACTTGTGAAACTTCATACTTTTGTGTAACTTTAGTTCCTGAAGTTGTGCAGATAATAAACACAGGCAGTTGCCTCTATCCATGACACTCCCAGGAGAGTCCAAGTGCCCTTTGAAATCCCAGACATTTAGTCTACGGAGTCTCCCATGAAACATAATCCACCACAGTTTTACACAGAAGACATTTAAAAATTATCTGTCTTAACAATATGGCAAATTTTTACTGGTAAAGTGAGAAACAAAGTCTCCCTCCACCCTTCAAGAGCAACGACGCACTCTGACAGTGCTACAGTTACAGAACAATATTATAAAGTGACATATTCTTTGCCTTAACCAGCATATGTCACTCCAAACCCCACAGGGGAGTGAAAAAGAATCTCTCTCTGCCAAACTGATGCTCACAACATTTCAAGCTTGCCCAGAAAGTACTTCTAGTAATTATTTCTTTCCACTAGTCTAACTGAGAAATTAATGCATTGTCAAAAAAAAACAATTAAACAGACTTTCTGGACTGCGGTTTCTAAAGGAGAAATTTTAATTCCCCACCACGAAGCATTCTTTCAGACTGAACTCCAGACATCTAATTATGTTCCAAGGAAATGTGGCCAGTTTGTGACATCCCACATTGTTTATTGTTTTTACCTGTGTAAAACCGTGTCAGTGGATAAAACAGTTGTTGCAAGCACACGTCATTTTGATTGCAGTCAAATTCCACATAAATCCTGTGGTATCTGGAGAAAAAGGACCCTTTTGGTCAATGCTGCTCACATTGCTGAGCACAGTGTGAAGTTTTCAATGTTTTTACCTTGTCTTTCGAACGGGTGGCTGAGCTGGGACTTTAATGAACTGAACAGAAGCTGTGATGGGCAGGAAGCTGAGGCTGTTTCCACAGCTCAGCCCACACTGGAACTGCCATAGGACTGTTGAGTAACTGTAACAGTAAACACAACTTTTACTTGAGGGCTGTAAATGAAAATTTAGAGCCTAAACACGACCACAAAAGGACAAAATACACAGTGTTTGGAAGGAGGTTGATAATCCCTGGATTTTCCCCCATGCAGGGGGAGAACCCAAGCCTGGAAATGAGCTAAAATGGAACAGAATCCCATTTATTTAATTGGGATTTACTTGGCAGAGGAGGGGAAAGTGTTTGCAAAGTGAAAATTCCATTTCAGGAAAGAATAAATCATTTAGCACAGCTCCCAAGAGCTCTGCAGTGGGATAAGCCAGAACATAGGACAATGTTGTCACTTCCACCACGTCACAAGAAGTTAAAACACTCTCCTGATGGGATGCCCTGGGTCTGCCCACTGCTGGCAGCATCACAGATTTTATTTAATGTTAAGTGAAGTAGAACTGTTATGTGGTTTTAAGCACTAGTTTTGTGGTTTTTTTTTCATTTGAGAATGAGAAAGGCTAACCTGGTTGTGATCAAAGGAATTTGGGCTGCAAAAATAAAAGGCTTGTAAAAATTTTAAGTAAGAAAACACAATTTTTTGTTTCTTAAGTTTAAATCTGGATTTGTTAGGTAAGGAAGGCTCAAAATGAAACATTTATATTGTGAGATAACCAGAGACACAACTCACTCTACCTGATCTGCACAGCAAGAATCTGTTGCTGGGGAATCCCTTGCACTGCTCCCACTTCAGCAAACATTATGTGAATATTCAGGTTTGCAGGAATATCTGGACAAAAGCCTTTTAAGTTTCCAGTGCTCACATTGGTATCAGAATTAAATGGATCAAGACCTATGGAGAACAGAGTTATTTAAATATAAATATTAAAGAAAACATCATATATTCCATCGTTAGATTATTGTCATAGTCCACTGAAACACTGGTAAACTGTCACACAGAAACAGATTAAAAATGCTTTCTCTATATAAAAAACACACAAAGAAAATTATTATACTTTTATTATTTAAAGGACTATATATTTATCTGTTGATATCTATTTATCAATAGGTAAATGCCAAGTCATATGTGTACAGACTGGCAGTAAAATATTCAGTATCCATACACATACTGAGTTATATGCCTATGTGTCCACATACATGGAGAGATGGATCCAGACATATCAGTACTTTAGGCATTTGAAATTATGTTTGGGGTTTATTTTGAGATGCTCTATTCAGTTATGTTCTGTAAAGAACAAAACAAACCTCACTTACGTATGATTTCCACCCAGTCATCTGGATCACTGTAACTGGAATTGTCCCTCTTTCCAATGTGAGTAGCTTGTATTAATGAATTCAATTTCTCAGTTACATTTCCTCTGCAAAATAAGAATGTAACATCACAAATCTGTACTGTCTGCCACTCTAGGTTGCAACCTTATTGTATCATAAGCTCAGTTTCCTCTGAAAGGTGTTACCACTCAACAAAAATAAACTCAAACTTGTCAGTTATCTGTTGAAGGGAAGAAATGGCAAAGTATTCCACCCCAACACAATCCTCATTTAAATACAGATTGAGGCTGTTATTATAATTTCCCTTTAGAAATGAAGTGAGACTTTTAACCACAGAAAGCTGAAACACACACATGAGTATTTAAAAAGAATGTTCCAGTGCTGGTAAGAGGCATTTGTAAACAATCATGTAATAACCAACAGGAGGGATACAGGGAGAAACAATTCAGCCTATGTGGCTCACCTTAAAAGGCTGCAATCTTCATTAATCCCAACTTCCAGAATGCACCCAGAGTAGGAGTCTACTCCAAATAAAACTGGTGTGTAAGTTGCTGATGCACATAAGCCTCTGCCAGCTGTGAAATGAAACCATCTTACTTGAGCTTTCCTATAGCCACCTTTGGATCTCTAGCTTTCAGTTTTGTGCAAAACATCAAACATTAGAATGCAAACTCAGCATGGTAGAGTTCAAAAATAGATACAAGTCAATTCAACATACATTTTGCAAGAAAGCATTAGAGGCTTTCTCACTATCCTTTAAACAAAGGCTTGGGAAAGAAAACCAAAATCTGGAGCAGATTTTTAACTAAAATATGTTTAAAAAAAAAAATCCTAAAAGCAACAAAGCCCCAACACTTTAGCATTAACTACAGTTGAAGTTGCAACCTCACAAGCCAGTACCTGGTTGCCAAATGTTTAGGGTTCCAAGAGGATCAGAAGCATTTATATTCGCAGCTCTCACTGGTTTTCCAACTTGATAACCTAAAGAGAGAAGGGTAAATCATGAACATTGTATAAGAATCTATAAGCATTAGCATTGTTTTAATAGTAAATGTCATCAATCTTGAAGTAAATGACCAGGCATTTCCATTAGAGTGGGAATAGCCTCACTTTAAATAATCAATAGCTGTGCAACAAAAGCCTAAGAACCAATCTCTGCTACTGGCAGTGCAGGAAGGCAGGAAGGTGAAGGCTGGCAACATAAGAAAGTATGAAAGAAATATAAAACATAATCACTGATAATAATCTGCACAGTATGATTTTTTTTTTCTTTTATAGGCAAAATAAAGTAGTAATACCTGTATTCTCAGGCAGTTCTTCTCCATTAGTACTCTTTAAACTCAGAAATTCAACCGTGAATCTCTGTGTCAGTATTTCTGGTAAAAGAGAAAAATATGACTTTACTTTTAAATAAGTAAATTAGCAACAAGTATGGTGTAAATCAGCAAAAACTATGCTCTGTGTAGGATACAAACTTTGGTCCTTCAGTAGTAACAGAAGATTCAAAATAATACAAATTAATGGAAATAACCCCTTTACTTTTCTTTCCAGAGCCCCAGGGAAATTCATTTTAAGAAGTATTAGTAAACAAGAAATTCTATCACAGAATTTCCATGCTGAAGAAAAAAGTACAATAAAAAATCATTACAAAATGTCATGATACCTCCATCACACAAGCTTCCAAGGAAGACTGTGACATTTACTTGCTCAATGTTCTTGTCTTTGCAAATGAATGTATAATGCTCTGCAAAAGTTACATTTTGACACAGAACCTCGGCAGGATGAAGGTTTTCTGGCAGAAGGAAAAAAAAAGGCCATAATGAAAAGCATTCTAATTAGAAAGCTCTGTTACTGCAGCTCAAAAAGAACACATTAAAACCCTGGCAAAATTCTGGGAATTACGACATTCATCTTTTTGAGAATTGATTCTACTGTTTAAATGTGCAATGGTACAATCTCCAAATTTATCAATATTTTAACATCAGCAGTTCCAGGTCCTTTTCTAGCTGATCCTCTGCACAAGAACCCAGCACTGGACTTTACATCACCAGCTGATGCCCTTCTCTGGACTGAGAATTCTCTCTGCTTTCCTCTCATCCCTCCCAGGGAGCCATGAGTGCCCAGAAAAACTAATTAGCTTGGATTCCATTAGTTTATTATCCTCCACTGACTGGGAACCACTGTCCTACATCAAATAACTGCTGAAAAAGGCCCTTAAAAGGGCACAGGAACTTACAAAACAGAGACAACCATGTCTGCTTACAGTCTGCCCTCCACACTTACATGTTCATCCTGGAGATTTTTTTAAGCGTTCTTTATATCCTTCTTTATGGTATTTGTTGGACTTTTTTCTTCTCAAAAATTAATTTTAATGTAAGATAAGGGACCTGATTTCTTGACCAACCTTAAACAAACTGGGGTAAATTAAATACTTCCTGCTTTGCAGGAAGCCAGTTTACTTTTTCAGTGTTAGTTAACATATAAGATTCCTCCTAAGAAGTGCAGCAGGTAAACATTTTAGGCATCAAAATAATCTATGCCATATACAGTCCAGGTTAGGTAAGAGACCTATTAATTAAATGGAAGACACATACCCCTTTCAGTGATGAATTTGCCCCTGTCAGGGATGGTTCTATAGGTGACATTTTGTTGGATGAAGTCTGAGAATGAAAAAGAAACACAGACCTACAGTTTTCACAACATCCTTGTTGTTATGAACATTGAGCAGAAAATTATTTAGAAAATTGATTTTGGTAAAGACCCAAACTTTTTATGTATTTTGAAAGCATAGCTAATTATCTCTGGGTCTAGTTAGACTAACAAAATTAGACAATTATGGAGCATAAAATAAAATATCTTCATGCTGGTAATCATATTATCTCAAACCCCAGAATGACTCTTCCTAAGTACTTGCTTTTGTAATGCAGAGAGTAACCACTCCTCAGTAATTCTCAAATGCTGATACTGCACCCTCCTGACAGAAAAAGGGCTCTGCAACAGTCTGAAAACAGCGGCAGAGATGCTGCCCTATCACTTGTAGCCACAACCAGTAGGAGTCATCAGAAACAGGTAAATGGGAAACAAAGGTCAACCCCACTATTTCTTACATGCTAAATCTTGGGAAATAGTGGGACAATTCCTAGAAGGTCATCGGGAACAGAACATCTCCAAACGTTGAACTACAGCCACCAGATAACAAAGGTGTTGGATGTAGCTACTGTGCCAACAGCCCTGGGGTTTGTCCTGTTCTAGCAGCTCTGAGAAACAGGGAACACATTCCTGTTGGGATTTAGGCAGCATACCTGCAGTGCCAGTGTTTATCCTCACATGGTGGGGCAGGCCTTCCTCGTAAGACTCCACACTGGTCAGGCACTTGACATCAAAGTCCTGGAGATACGCCACGGGAGCGTTCCCAACACACTGCCCAGCCAGGGACTGCTGTGGGTGGCCACAAAAAGAACTGTGTTGGACCCTGTGCCAGCCCCTTGCCTTTCACTGGAAGACTCTCAGTTAGTGAAATGCCCCAAATGTGCACTGCAGCCACACGTGACACTTTGAGAAACAAGTAATCTGAAGTTATCAAAATATCTCAGTCTGTAGCAAAGGAGGGGTCAAAATCTTAAAAGCACAGCTTTAAAAATAGTTTCAATGTAGTCTGGCTTTACCCCAATTTGTCACAATAATTATAACCAAAAAGTGTCTCTAAAATACAAAAGGAATTTCAGTTATCACCAGATGACTGAGCTTGAAAGCCAACTATATTGCTCAGCAGGAAAGCCAAAAAATACAGAATATGGTAAGTCATAAACTGTTAACACAGTGATATGCCAAGATTGCTTTTACCTCTTGAAATAATTAAAACATTACCATTTGGGGGGTGGGCAGGGGCATCAGGAAAGATGTTTTCTTTTAATAATGACTTTGTGCTGCTTTTTTTCTAAATATTTTTTGATGAAAAATATATTCCACCACTTTACAAGAGCAAATTGCTGAATCTGGTTACAAGGCCTGTGATGTATGGAAAGTATCAAACAAACCAAGAGGAATCAAAAGCTCATAAACACAAAGTGATTACCTGGGGAATGGTAAAATATTCATTTTCTTCAGTTATAATTGGATCTCCTTGTCTGTAACCAGTGAAAAGTCTCCCAGGAGAAGTTTGTAAAGGGATTGTAAATGCAGGAACTTTGGGTGTAGAACTGCAAACAAGTTTAAAAATTAAACAGTTCTTTATTCTCTACCTCACAAATAATGACACGTTTTCTTTCATGTCCCATGTTCTACTATAGTACCAATGACATTTCTCCCTTTGCATTTGAAGTTCACACCCTAAAATCCTGATTTCAAAATAACTTTCATTATCAAAACAGGTTCATTTTCATGTCTAATGTGTATGGTGAGAAAATTAATTTTCTTAAGACTTACATAGAGCCATGATAAAAATAGCCAAGAAATGGTGTGTTGTCAAGAGAAGACTGTACACAAAGGAAGGGAAACCACTCAGGGGTGTATTCCATTGACTGGGAAGAGCACAGCTGATCAAAAGGTGGGTTTACATCCCCACCAAACACCCCAGTGAAACATGATCCATTGAATAACTGCTTCAAGTCTGGTGTACACTCCTGAAAGGAAAGGAATGGTCACTTTTAAGCATGGTGATGGCATTAGCAATGGCACTATATAGCCATATTTACAGATAAATCAAACAGTTTTGTAGAGAGAGAGGTCATATTTACTATTAGAAATACTGGAAAATCCAAAGAAGCCCTGTGGCCCATCTAGGCTGAAGCATTCAGTACCTTTCACTCCTCCCAGATAACAGAGAGAGTTTAGAAATTTGACAAACACTAATCAAAGTTTAATATGAAATAAGTACCAGATCACAGCAACAACGAACATCACAAGCTCCAGCTGTTAAGTTACAAGGACAAGAGCCTAAGGGCTGAAAGGCCTGGTTTGGGATGATAGTTGCGTTTTCTGTAACAGAATTAGAAGAGGAGAAAATCAGATTAAGTGGAATGAAATCCAAATACACAGACCATGCACATTGCAGTTTATTCTGACTGTGAAGAAACCTTTTTTAAAATTCCATTAATGATTATTCAATATCTCTTATTGCAGCCCAAATCCCAGTTTTTCCATGTAGAGAGGAAAAGAACAGCCAAAATGCCATTTTTTCTTTAACATATCTAAACCCTTACCTGAGACATTTCCTGCAAAGGAAGAGTTGGCAAATATTTCAGCTTGAATCAGGAGCTGTGCCAGCCTCACTGAACCACGGCAAGCTAAAACCTGGAGTGTTTCCAGCACACAGAGAGGTGAGGGGCAGCAGTCAGTGGCATTGGGCAAACACAACTCCAGGTTTCTGGTCAAGCTTACAGTCACTTTGGAAGTGTTCTGGAAAAATGCAGAATAAAGTTTGACAGCTCTTATGCCTTGTATTAAATTGCTCTTAATTATACCACTCATCAGCTTCTGAGAGAGGAGTTGGAATGAAGTGGAGTAACAGGAGTTGGAGACTGGAATGGCAAAAAGTTTGGTACTGTGATATGCAAATACAGGAGGGATATGAACACAGAGAGAACTTTTTAGGGCATGTACACAGATTAAGTTACTTCAGAAATCACATGCACAGTTCTAAAGAAAAAAAATCAAATATTGAAAAGGGAATTTCAGTTTTTACAGTTTCCTTCAGTCAAAAACTGGAATGATGCCAGAGCTGATAAAACCCCTAAAGAATTACATATAACACTGAAGACAAGTCTAAGAAATACAGATGTTCCAGAGCTCATGCTGTATACTTTTTTATTTCTAGTACATCCTTCCAGCAGATCTGAAAGAGCCTCAAATGCTACAGCCAGCCAGGAAATATAAGCAGTTGTGGAGAGGAGGAGAACAAGGGACCAATGTCAAAGTTGCAACTCCAGCAAGGGCAGTCACACAATATGTCAAGGAAAACAGGCAAGGGCAACATATTCAAATGAAGTTGTTAGTACATTAACATTATGCTAGTATTTAATTAGCCCTTAATATATGACAATCATTCCCATTTTAGGGAAGAATTAGTACTTTACATACCATACCAGGTGTTACATCCAAATTCCAATCACCAGCTCTTTTACTTCCACTGCAATTTGCAACTTGCAATTTTCCTATAGCAAAAAAAAGTATTCCACTGTCATTTAGAAAAGACTGGGAATAAGAAATACATTTAAATTCCTCTTGTGCCTTCAGGTACACACACCCTGAGGTCCAGCTGACGCAGAGTCAACAGAGAACTAAGGGTTTAATCACAGAAGTCCTCTGGAGTTCCTATTTCAGTAATGATTAAAGCACTAAATTAAGTGCATTACCACTTCTCCAGTAGTTTTAATGTCAAAAATATTAATAATTCAAACGTATTTATTTACATATGGGGGAAGGAGAAGGGGAAGTGAAGTGTTCTTACCTGTCTCTTCATCTCCAGGACTTAAAATTACAGAAAAAGTAACTCCTGAAGAATTTCCAAGAAAAAATGAATTGACTCTGGGCCCTGACATATGGATAAATGAAGGCTGAAAGACTAAAAAGAGAGAGAAAGAAACAAGTCTTAATACACACTGCCTGAAAATGGTAACATTTGTAAGACATATTTAGGTCTTCTGCTTGGCCTAGATTCTTATATCCTTATACTTTAAATTGTCACAAATAGAAGAAATATATCTTGTAATGCCTAGTGCAGGGTTGTATTTACATTCTTGTCAAGGGCTGGAGCAGTGGGTTCACCATAGCTTTCTATACCACAAGTTTATATTTGTGAAATGCTCAGCAAAATAACATTACAGCAGGAGGCTGCAGCACTTACAGCCCATGCAGATACTACACAGCTCAGGCAAGACCATATTTCACACTTCTTACTGATTTCAGCTGATACATTTAATGTCTTGGGGCCATGAATGGTGCCAGGAGTGTCCGGCTACCCGTGATCCAGGAATTGCGGGCTCCTGCCCTCAGCATGCGGACCCAGTGCCAAGTTTAGGGCTCCGAGCTGGGAGTTTCGCTGGATTTTTCGTTACAAACTTTACCAAGGTTGAAAAGTTCGACATAAGCAGCTCTACTCTCCCTCTCCGAGTCTCCCCCAGAGGCTCGGGGCACCCAAGACCTCCAACCTCGCCGTCCCCGGGGAACCCTCAGTGGAGCCGCGAGCTCCCCTCACGCCCTCCCGGGTGGGTCCCGCCGCAGACGGACCCCCATCCCCACACCCCCGGAGGCCGCCATTCCCCGCGGCCCCTCACGCCCTGACCCACCGGAGTCCCCGGCCCGCTGCCCGGGGCAGGAGCCCCGCCAACAACAGCAGCAGCAGCGCCCCGAGGTCGGAAAGCCCCATGTCGCCTACGGCGGCCGCCCGGCCGCCATCTTGCAGCGCCAGGCGCGGCGCCATGGGCAACGGCCAGAGGGCGGAACGGCGGCCGCTCAGGGAAGGACACACAGCCCGGCTGGGCCGCCGCACGGTGGCGTTGCAAAATGTGGAATATGTAACAGTTACCCTAATAAAGGATGTTCCCTGATGTTTGGTCTTTGTATACTTTCAAGCCTAATCAGCAAGAAGGGAGATTTAATCCGTGAAACAGCCAGCTTTATGTTAGCAAGCTCTACGTGATGTCCACGTATACCAACCAAAACAAGTTGGTATAATTGCCTTGTTAAAGTTTAGGGTTTGACTCTGCTTCAATGATCTCAGGCCTGGGGGAGGTCAACAAAACCTGGGAGGAAGGATGTACCACTGACAGTGGGCACAGTGCAGAATTTACGGCTCACAGGGACAGCTGGAGGAACTCCCAAGGTAAGGAAGAAACTAATAAGCCCAACTGAGCAACTGTGCTGGAATCAGCTCCAACTGGGTAAAAGCTAATTCTGGCAGGGTCAAATCTGCAACCACGAACCCAAGAAACCCCCCAACCCAAAGGGAGAAAAAAACTGAGCTAATTAGCATGAGAAACAAGAGAATCATTAACCAACAGAAGATAGAATATTAATTAATAAGACAACTATGTAACTTGCAGCCATTGAACACTAATTCCTGTGTTGTTAAAATGTATAAATAGATAAAAGTTTTTACACCATCCAGTGTCACATCACATCATTACACTCACACAATAAATATCCAAGAAAGCCATGTAGCTCGCCCTTAAATATGTCATTAAAGCAATATCTGGCCACGCTTGCAAAAGAAACAGTTTTTATTACAAAAGTTTTATACAAAGTAAATTATAAATACAGCCTTCACACAAAATGGCTTTTGGCAATCAAAAAAGCTCGCTTTGTACTCTGGCAAGCCTGGAAAAAACTGGCACTAAAGCTGTTACAGTGATAAAACCTGATATCAAGACATGACAAATTCTTGTGTAGACATTAGGAAGAAAAAAATTAGTCCTTTTCTATGCAGGAAACAATTCCTCTCTGTATTCCTTTCAGGAGCATGGCAGTTACTAAAACAGGCTAAACCTCCAAACTGTAAAGCTACTTTTTAGATGGGGATATTGTTTGTTTAGTGTCAAATGCCAGATGTAAACCCACATACTAAAAAAAGAAGTGTGCCTGCTGTCATATTACAACAACATTTTTTGTTTTCCAGTTTCAAAATACAATCTTAAAGACTAGGCAGTTAGTCTGCATTTATTGGTGTTATTTCAAACAAAGAAAGGCCTTTTTATTCACAAATGAAGATTATCAAATTGAGAAAGAAGTACCACAAGGACAATACAGTCAAAGGAATATGAATACATGTGAGTGCACATGTAGGGCAATTAGCACCTTTTTATTCAAGTGGCTCCCAAGCCATCTTGAAAATGTTGGCTCATTTCTTTTGAAACTGATGCTGTTTTAGTCCAAAAATTGCTAGCAAGGAGCTGAAGCCCCTGAACAACACAATGCTAAAGTTCTGATCCTACACACTAGAACTGGTCATTTTGAACTTTACACCAACAAAAAGAACCACAGCTTTCTTGTCTTTGAAAACATCTGAGAGGTGGAAAACTTTGCAGTGGCCAGAATACCTTCAACTTCCCAGGCTGTATCTCCTTACAGGATGTAACTTCTGATTCCTCTTATAGTTCAGAATTAGTAGGGAAAACAGCACAGGTTACATGGTAATACAGTGATTCGTTACTTAAAGGGCTGCATAGAAGACGTCTCATTTAAATATTTATCCCCCAACAAAAAAGTAATAGCACTTCATCCAGTTCTCTTTCATACCCAATAAAAAGTGCCAGCAATTTCTCAAGTAGGTTCCATTTCATGGAATTACTGGAGGAGGTAATGATGTATTTTCATAATGTTGTTACGCAGCTAACTTTAATTTCTTCTTCTTTGCTTTCATGACAGGTGGCAGTGATATTTTGAAAGCAGTCCTGAAAAAAAAAAAAACATAAAAAAAGGAACTGTCAGCTACACAATGTATTTCCACACCCAGCCCTGAAATACAAAGAACAAACACTTACTCGCAGGTACTGCAAATAGGACTGAAGTTGCAGAATACTGGAAAAGAAAAGAATTGGCTTTCACTAAAATAGGTCATTTGAATGGAAGAAATCAGACTCTTAGATATTCATCAACTCACTTGACAAGCACACAGAGCACACGTAACCAATTTCAATGAGGTTCCGATGACAGAAACACGCAGCTCTGTAGTCAACATGAACAGGAGGTGGGAGGACCAGCTGTGATCTCTGCTCTTGGTCAGGGAGAAATACCCACTGCAGGGAAGGAGAAAAATACTTTGTGAATTGGACTGGTACTGCTGTATCTCCTCATCAGTGATATTGCACATCTCACACAGGAAAAACCCTCAGGTGTTTTTTCAATGACTTACCAACAAATATTGCAGGAGGGATGGCATGTGGGGCACTTTCAAATATATGCCACCTGTAATGTCACAGGCCTGCAAAGCAGAGAGAATGATCAGGTTGTTGTTTTATGACATTAACAGGATATTTAAAATCTCCTTGTACTGCACAAGGCCTGCATGACAGAACTGTCAGATCCACTGAACATATTTCCACACCCACTCTTCCTTAACGGAGGAAAAGAGCAGAAGAACATGTTGAACTATCTGGCATCAAGTATCTATGAATTAATGCAAACAGCAAATAAGAACAGGAAGTCTGTACCTGTTGTAGAAGACCCGAATCAGAGTCCAGGACACAGGCATCAACCAAAATACTCTGCAAGGAAAGAGAAGAAATGCATGAAAACCAAATTCAGCCAGGACCAACGTAGCCCCACCAGTGTTCCTGACATGACTTTTTTCCACTACACATGCACCCCACATAGAAATGCACCTGCTTTTCCAGATGCAGGGCCACCACAGCCACAGGAAAGCTCTTTCACTTGATCAGAACGTAATCATAAGAGAAACGAACTGATTTGTCACCTTTGCACATTAATAAAAGACAATATAAATTCAAAGAAAAGCAGCTTCACCTGTTTCTGCGCTGCAAAGATCACGTTCATGAAATTCATATATTGCAACGTGCTGTCTTCTGCGGCTTTTATGACCTAAATAAAACAACTCAGACTTGTTAGCCTACATATATCACTGAGTTTGAGAACCAAAAGAAAACTGACAGCAAAAGTTCTTACCAAAATCCTTGATTTCATTTCTTGATTGGCTAAGTATTAAAAAGAAAGAAAGAGAAATGCATCAGCACACTGTTTGTACCACCACAGTTTGCCCTTTTAATTCTGTAATCTCAGTTAGATATTGAACCTCTTCCATGTTAGATCTAACAGGTCAGATAAAACATATACAAAAATGTGGTCCAGTCCCAGTGACAAGTATCTGTGGATTAATTCCTCTCAACCTCAAAAGAGATCCCTGTTCCAGTTTTACTCGAATGCAACAGAAAATCTGCATAAGAACATGGACTGCTGTTCAAGTCCTTTTCTCCTGATTGTCACCCAGACCTACTTTAAACTGGGTAACTTCAAATGATCAGAATAAAACCTGTACAACCACTGCCAATTTTGGAAATGGCAGTGTATCAAAACATATGCATATCTGTGTGTGCATATGGATTTATATTTATCCTTCAGGTTCAAATATTTATTCAAGGACTGCAAACAGGAGAAGGTGTTACCTTTCACCTCTTTGCTCATCTTGTTGATGTCTACATTAGCTGACATTAAGGAATCTACATTCCAATCTTGGAAATAACTCCAGGATCCATACCACATATTCACCACCTTGGCCAACACACACCTAATAAGCACAACCCCCAGTTATTAAGCAAACCCGTCAGTGTTTAATATTATAAGAGAAAACAAATAGTAAAACTTAATTATTATTACAAGAAAAAGTCTTAAAAACACATAAAGGCTTTGAAGATTCTGTGATCAAAAGGATACAACAAAGTGCTTTAGCAAGTGATCCTGCTAGCAGGGTTTCTGTTTGCTGGCCCTTCATCTCAGCTGCAATACAAGAAAAGTTGCAAAAGTTACTTTTAGATATAAAAAACAGTTGTCGAAACTGTCCACACCAAATACTCCAAGTTTTATCTTCGGCAAATAGTATTAAAGCAGAAACTTGAAGTGTCAAGCATAATAAATTCATCTACTTTAAACACATTAAAATCCACATGATGAAAAGAGAGGAAATTCCTAAAACTCCTTGGGAGTCCAAGTATTTTGCAATTCTGCATATTAAGCCTAGAATTTTCTTCCCCTTACTTTTTGTCATGAGGTCTTTAATCTCTTCTGCAATTGCATCATTTATTGCTGTCAATAATTCATATTTTCCATCCTTGCTGCCAGAGCAATTAGATTCCATGGAACTGCCTCCATCTCCAAAGGGATCTGCAGAAGCCCAACGCTTCCCAGGGTACAGGAAACGGCTAAAACAGAGGAAAAGCAAAGTATTCATGTTTTGCCTTTAAACCTTGTAAGAAAAACTATCATAAATTAATAAGCTGCAGATAGCAATACTCTGAAGTATAATTTCAAATACTTTTAATACTTTAGACATTAAAGAGACTACCTAACGTTGGTGACCTTCAAACTCCAACACGAGTAAACCCCAAATTCAGCTCCCTCCTTTCAAGACATCTCTTAAAAGAACTGGCAAACAGATACTATGGCTGCACTTTGGGGAGACCCCAAGACTCACAAATATCTGCAGGGAAAATATCCACTAAACAGGAAACTTCTGCCACTTGCATTGTTCCACTTGATGCATCTCTACAATTCTCTCTCTCTCTGTATATCTTTAGGTCTATTTAAACCTCCCTTCTGTTTTATAAGCCTTTTTGTTCCTTTGTAAGGCACTAAGATTATTTCTTTCCCACAATTTTTTAGCTTATATCTTCTTTTAAGACAGTGATATATTACACACGTTAACTTGGTTTCAATTATACATTTCAAGCCAGTAAGAAAATCAGAAGACAGACATAGGAAAGTGCATTTGAAACCTTTACACTGTTCAGAAGCAGCTCTACCTTTCCTGTGTGTGACTTGCTATCACAGCGAGTTTGTTGGTGCGATTCATGAACAAGTGGGAATTTCCCAGCACCATCACGGCATCGATGCATTTCGACAGGGTGAACTGCTGGAAAAGAAAACAGCAGATACAGCACAATAACAGTTACACAGAAGCAACTCAAAAGAAATCTGTGAAATAACTGCAGTTAAAAAAAGAGTGTTCTGATATCCATTATACCCACTTTAGCAGACAACGTTAGGATAGTTCGGAAGTCAAAGATTAATCCTATCTCTTGCCTACTTACTAACGATTAAAAAAAATGACACCGTTCCCCTCAGCAATGGCCACGGGCAGCACCAGGGCCGTACCTCCGCCTCTCCCAGCGCCCTCTTCCCCCACCAGATGGGGTTGGTGTCGATGACGATGACCAGCAGGCTCAGCTCGTCCTCTGCAAAGGGACCAACACAGCAGCGTCACTCGGGGCCCGGGGCAGAGGAGCCCAGTGCAGGCGGCAGAGCCGTGCCCGAGAGCCCCGCTCCGGCCTCTGCCTCCTCCACGAGGAACCCGAGCCCCGCTCCCGGCACCTCCCGGACCCCGCCGCGGTACCCTCAGACCCTGAACGCGGTATCCCCGAACCCGCCGCCTCACCCGCGCTCATCTCGCCGGTCGGGAGAAGCAGCTGCTCCCGGCGGCCTCAGATGACGCTCCGGCCCCGCGCTCCGTCATCCGCGGGCGCCCCGGCCCTGCCCACGCCCCGGTGCGGCGGGAGGAGCGGAGCGGGGAGCGATGAGCACGGACGGTACCGGGGGCATATCGGGGGGCGGTGGCACGGACGGTAATACGCGAGGATATCGGGGAGCGATGGGCCGGACGGTACCGGGGGATATCGGGGGCGTGGGCATGGGCGGTACCGGGGGGATATCGGGGGAGCGATGGCACTACGGTACCGGGGGGATTATCGAGGGAGATGGGCACGGACGCGTACCGGGGGGATATCGGGGGAGCCATGGGCACGGACGCGTATCTGTGGGGGTGCCGGGCCGGGCCAACGCCCCGTTGTCTTCCAGCCTTGATCGAGACCTTCCGGGCACAGCTGAGGGACGACCCCGATGTCGCCTCGGCCGTGGCCGCCATCCGCGCCCTGCTGGGCTTCCTCAAGCAGGACCGAGGTGGGCCCGGGTCCCCTCCCCGCTGCCCCCCGGGTGTCCCCGGGGCCAGCCCCTGACCCTGCCTGTCCCCAGGAGAGACCATCCAGGGCCTGCGGAACAGCCTGCGGGACGCCATCGACACGCTGTCCCGGGTGGACTCCTCGGTGGCCGTGTCCTCCGGCGGGGAGCTGTTCCTGCGCTTCATCAGCCTCACGTCCCTGGAGTACTCGGTACGGGCCGCCCTGCTCGGCCCCGCTGTGCCGGGGGACCCTCCCGCCTCACCGGCATCCCTCTGTCTTCCAGGACTACTCCAAGTGCAAAGAAATCATGATCGAGCGCGGGGAGATCTTCCTGAGGAAAGTGTCTCTCTCGAGGAACAAAATCGCCAAGCTGTGCCACCCGTTCATCAGAGATGGTGCTGTGAGTAGGGCCTGGCAGGGTCACTCCTGTTCTAACTCCTGCATGACAAGCCATAGCACTATTAACAGAAGTAAAGGTTTCCCAAAGCTCAGCAAAAATAAATGTCTGGATTTCCTTTGTTTTGGCAGCGAATCCTGACCCATGCCTACTCCAGGGTGGTCCTCAGGGTGCTGGAAGCAGCTGTGGAGGCAAAGAAGCGATTCAGTGTTTATGTTACTGAGTCACAACCAGATCAAGCAGGGCAAGTACTCGTTAATTTGGTTTTTATCTTGGTTAACAGGGTAAGTTACAGCTACCATCAAGCCTACCAAAGCTGCTAGGCTTGGTTGTAGCATTTTAAATGGCAGCTGTCACTAATATCACATTATTCTGGACAAGTGGAAAAACCCCTAGACAGTATTGGTAATTAACTTCCCATACTAAATATTCTAATTAGCGTCATCCAGGTTTTCCTCAAATGTTTGCAAACTTTCAGGCAGTGCCAAGCAACTGCTTTACCCCTGGGAGATGGGAGAGAACCGATTTCCAATTTTCTCCTTCAAAAACAGGGCAAAATAATCAGGATTATCCTGACCACAGCATAGTGAAATGTATAGGTAAAATGTCATTTGAAGATGCCAAATAAAGTAATTACTTCAGAGCATATTTTGTTGCATAAGTGAAAGAGTAAACCCTGCTCACTGGATAATACACAGCACTAACAACACACACCACCACACCAACAATTCCTTCCATTTCTATACAATAACTTATTTTCTGTTCTACAAGAAACAGAACATGGACAGTCACGGGTTTCAGTCTTTCAGACAATATTTTCCTATCATTGTCTTTAAAGAAAAGATTTGTAAGGTTCAAACATGTTTTCTTTAACAGGCAGAAAATGGCAAAAGCCCTGAGGAAGCTGAACATTCCTGTGACTGTGATTCTGGATGCTGCAGTTGGGTAAATCTGATCGTAAATCTTAATATTTTTCATCACAGTTGTATTTTGACAGTGTTACACGTAAGTTTTCTAGAAGCTTTTTCAAACTCCAGAGGTTATTACTTAGTTTGTCATAGTCATCAAACAGGCTAAACAAGTTACACCTTTAGGTGCACAATTAGGAGAATGTGTCTGTTACAAGACAAGTATTTGATTTTGCATGTTAGAATGAAAGGAGGAGTCAGACCTAAGTGTAGAACTCGTGGAGATCTGTAAAAAAAACTGAGGTTCTACACAAAGAGGGGTAGAAAATGATATCATTTGGGGGGTTTTAAGGTGTTTGCTAAACTACCACTGCTTCGTACAAGTCAAAAAAACATGGGAAAAGAAAGAACTATAATAAATCTGAACCTCAAGAAGCTCAAAATGCCCAAGATGCTGCCTCCAAGGCACCTGGAATATAACAGCACGTGGACTTACAAGAGGTGGAACTAGTGCAGAAAAGTGAAAGCCTGCTTGAGTTACTCATTTCTGTTCTGTTCAGCAAATCATTTGCCATCTTACCCAGTAAGCCTTGGATTTTTTCCCCCTCTTTGAACAGCTACATTATGGAGAAAGTGGACCTGGTGTTGGTTGGTGCTGAAGGTGTGGTTGAAAGTGGAGGCATTATCAACAAGGTAATCCTGAGTTTCTTCCATCGTTCTCTAAATTCTGGACTTTTAAAGTTTGGTTCCTTTGAAAAGTTTAAGGCTTTTTGAAAAGATTCTTCTATTTGGATGTTTTCCAGTAAATGTCTCTTTATTGTTGGAAACTGGGCAATATTATGTCATGCAAGCACTGAGTCTGCAATGTTGTTTTCCATCTGTCTCCACAGATTGGCACTAACCAAATTGCTGTGTGTGCCAAAGCCCAGAATAAGCCATTTTATGTGGTAGCAGAAAGTTTCAAGTTTGTAAGACTTTTCCCTCTAAATCAGCAGGATGTCCCTGACAGGTTTAAGGTAAGAGAAATTCTAATTCCACCTTACCCAGCTAAGGTGCACACTTGTGTGTCTGTGAAAAATTTTCCTCTAAGCACATTTATCTGGATCTCTGTGCTGGGGCACGTTATGGAGCAGCTCCACTGTACAGTCATGTGCCAAACAGCCATAATTTGTCTTATTACTAATATTTAGTTCCTAAAGCAGTTCCTTTGGGGTGCAGGAGCAGTTGAGAATAAGAAACAGTTAAACCAATACACTTTAGAACTACAAATTGTACTTTTTACAGAAGATAAAGCAGCTGAGACCAAGGTCTCACCAGTCTCTGCACTTGACTTCCTTCAGTTTTACCACAAACATCTGCTCAAGGCTGTAGTACCACTCTTGCCCAAAAGAGGATTTAACTTGCAGTTGTGTAATAACTGGTGGTCTCTGTTTCCTTCTAGTACAAAGCAGACACTCTGAAAACAGGTCAGAATCTCACAGAGGAGCATCCCTGGATTGACTACACATCCCCATCACTCATCACACTGCTGTTCACAGACCTGGGTGTGTTAACTCCCTCAGCTGTCAGTGATGAACTCATCAAACTCTACCTGTAACACACAGGACTCCCTGCACAGGATGTATCATCTTCAGTGACCATCAGGGCTGTAGGACTTGGAAGATGATACAAGTTATAGGAACATGGCAAGGAAACAACATCATAAGGATTAATGTAATTATGGACCACTCTTGAAAAAATTCCAGAACTTACTACAGCTTCTAAAGACCTAAAGTAAATTATTTTAAAGATGGGTGGAGTGTTTTAATACTATAAATTAAAGTACCTTATGGTGTATTCAGACTTGTTCTGAGGTGTGCTGTTACTGAGCTGTGGGATGTGTGTCTTTCTGGATGCCAGGTCTCCCCATCATTTTTTATAAAAATCCATATTTATTGAAATAAGCAGTATTTTAATGTAAAAAGATGAGTGTCAGCCTTCAGACTCTGTGTCAGCAACAGTTTCTGCTTTGAGTCTACTCTGGCTGCCTGTTAGTTTCTTCTCAAACTCTTCTTCACTAATTTTCCCCTTTTTTAGTCTTTTCAAGAGTCTTGTGTCATTCAGCAGCTCTTCCATATCCTCATCTTCGATATCAGAGCCCTGTTGGCAGTTGAAAACAACAAATTAGACACTTCACCAGAAAGTTTTCATTCTATACAGCTGAACGTGAGAAGATTACAACTTGGATTTTGCCAGGAGTATCCAAGCAGGAAATAATACTCAGTTCCTACCCAGGAGACTCTGTAACTCTCAGCTACACTTGTTGAAAATTAACAAAAGCAAGGAAAAATCAAGCCCTGTCCACCATCAAGCCCTCCTGCAGGACTCCAGAGAAATAAAAATCCCTGCTATGTCTGCTGGCAGCACTAATAACCAGCATAAGTGCTGAGAAATTGGTTTAGTGTTTGGCTTTAAAAAGCTTCTCTGTAATTTTTTTTGTTAAGATTTGCCTGTCAAGGTCCTAAAAAGTTACTTTACAGCCATCAGTTCCACCACACTAAAATCCCAGGGCACTCTGCCATTTGAAACTATAATTATTTGCATTTTAACAGAATGGACAGTTACCTCTTCATGCTTCCTTTTAGCTGTTACTTTCTTTTTCTTCTCCCTCTTGGCTTTCTGCTTTGACCAGGCTTTGTTCTTTATGAATTTCTTTTTCCCTTCATTTTCTTCTCTCTCTTTTCTTTGTTGTTCTAATTTCTTTTGTCTCTGCTTTTCTCTGTTTTTATCCTTAAACGAAATGGAGTCTGTATTCACAGTGACTGGAGTAAAGTCTGGAAAACATTTTCCTCTTAGTTCAGGCATCTTTGGCATTTTTAACAATGCAAAACCTCTGGCAAGACTGGCAAAATCCAGATCTGTTGAAACAAAGATTATAAAGTCACTTTCCTGCTGAATAAAAAGTTCATTTAACTGAGAAAGAAAAAAAAGACTAAAATTATTTTAGTGTATTGTTTGCATTCTATACTTAACACCAGCAACAATACTAAGTCACTTTTATTTATACTTATATCGATTTGGTCGAACTCCATAATTAAATGTTTTCTCTTGAAACAAGCTGCTTGAAAAAATAGGAGTTTTGTCAAAATTTGATGTTGTAGAAAGTGAATCTGAGATTCAGAATCAGTAGTTGAAGCTTGGGCACAATAATACCATGGGGTTTTTTTCCCAAACCAAATCCTGTCTTCTGAAAAGAACAGTAAAGACACTAGCCCTGCTGGGAATTACCTTTTATTCGGAAGATCAGATTGCATTCATGTTTGGCATAAGCCTGGACATAAGACACAAAGGCTTTCATCCCTTTCTCAAACACTGCCCTGTCAGCCAGGGCCATGGACTTCAGTTTGGGAAGAAGATCCAACACATTGGTCTGTGGTTTCATTTCCTGCATGGGACACTGAGAACCAGAAAATAAACAACAAAACCAAAGGAAAAGTTCAGCTAAATGGTGTAAAATGCTCTGTGAAACCTCAAACACACACTTCCTGCCCAGTTAATCCTCAGTGAGCTTTGAGCCCCTTCCCCCTTGGTCATTCCAACATACCAGCTGACCATCAGCTCCACACAACAGCTGTCCTGGCCCAGCAGAGGAGTTCCCACACTGCAACTCTGAAGAGGCAACATCATCTTGTGCCTTATCAAGCTTTGATCTCATTAGCAGGTCTAGAGAATTTATATAATTACACAAATGCAGGAGCAGGCATGGGAGAAGAGTTAAAAATGAACAGCACAGAGGGTGCAGTGTGTCAGCTGGTGGTGGCAGGGCTGGGGCAGGAGGGTAGGCCAGCACTGCCCTTCTGGAAATGCACAATTTACACCCTTAGGGACAAAAAGCCTTTCCTTACTCACTGCCCACGTGTTCCTCTTCCAAACTCAGTAGGCTTCCTATCAGCCTGTCCCCTTGCTCTCTCCTGCTTTGGGGTAGAATAACAGTCCACAAACCTTCTGGTTGATGGAGAGAAAGTTAACGTAGGATTCTTCCATGGGAAGCAAAAACACGAGCGCGCTGCCGACGTTGCCGATCCGCGCGGTCCGACCGCAGCGATGCACGAAGGCACTGCAACAACCCAACACGGGCAACTCAACAGGACAGTCAGTCCTCTTAGACAGGACTGTGTTAGACTGTGTTAGTCCAGTGTTAGACAGCCAGCAAAAAGGGCCTGAGGATGTGGAATGTGGAATGGAAAATATACTGTTCTGTACTTTTGAACTAAACCAGCGGGGATTAGTAAAAGACAATGTCCCACAAAGAAGGGTGGCAGCCCCACTCAAGTGTTAGGCTAAAGCAAGGGGTATCTGTTTTGGGGGTGATAGTTAAGCAAGTTGTAGCAGGAATTATGACAACAAAAGTTAAAAGACATGGAAAAGCTCCTTTCCTGTGAGCTTTCAATGTACCATTCCTCCAAGAGCTGTCCCCACTCTCATCTCTGTTCTTCACCCCCAGTGTGTCACCTCTCACTATTTCTCTGATATTCTCACATGAAGCCTTTTCCAGAGTCACCTCTTCACAGAGATGGAAGTGGTGACCACCCATCTTACACACACACACAACACGAAGTCATTTCAATCTACAGCAGTTACAGCAAACACTGCAGTGTATCAGCTCTTCTTGTCCCTGCATCATTTTGTGTTCACCCAGATTTCCAGGCAGTGATTAAATGTGTTTTCTGCAATTCTGGCTCCCAGTTTATATCTGAACAGTACAAGAACAAGATCACATGGACAGAAAAGGTTCTTAGGACACGGGACTGTACCTTGCACTGCTGGGTGGGTCGTACTGCAAAACCCAGTGCACTTCTGGGATGTCAATGCCACGGGCCATCACATCTGTGCAAACCAAAATGCCCCTGGGAAGGAGGAAAAGTGTATTTTCATTAAACTCATTCGAGGAGAGCCAGCCCCCCCAGCTGTGTGTTCTGCATCTTCACTGGACAGGGGGGGACAGAGCATTAGAAACATCTGGGCATTTAAAAGAGACACAATATAAGGTAACTGCAGCTTCCACCAACTAAAATTCCACATAACGTTATGAAAATTATTGTGGTTTATATTACATTTCTAAGAAAAATCAATTTCCTATTACATATTCAAATTCTAAATCAGCATTGCATCAACCACAGCTGAATGTATTATTATAAATGTTTCATTTTAGCACATCAAAATTGGTCTTTTAAATGCTGGCCTTTTAAACAGTTGTTCTTCCAATCTGCTGGTAATTATTTTTCTCATAATATAAAATGCCAAAGCTCAGGTCCCACGCAATAAATAATGACAGCTAATGAGGCAAGAGTCTCTTAACATCCTGCAGAGCTGCCAAAGAACACTTTTCTGCAGTTAAGTTACAGCCTTGTGTTACCACATTCTTGTTCATACACTACAAAAATAATATCCTGAGGTTTTGCTCTGGTTCCCACTCTGTGATATTATAAATACACTCAGAACCAGCCTGTAGCATCCTCCTCCTCAGCTGTTCTTCCCTGCTCAAGTAGCAGCACAATAGTCAGACAAAATCACCGAAATGCCCCTCACTGCTCTGACTTTTGGCTGGTTCAGCCCCAGTTCTTACCCCGGGAGCTTCCGAAACTCGGTAAAGATCTTGTTACGCTTGTGCTTCATTTTCCCATGAATGCTCATTATTTTCACTTGTTTAATCAAGGATTCCAAAGCCTTCCCATAGTATTCCACACAGGCACAGGTGCTGTGGTGATAAAGACAGGCATTAAGTCAAAAGATTATGCTGCATTTTTAATCTGCTTTAGACAGTCAAACTCGAGTGGTCTGAAATGTTTCAAAAATATACAGTATTGACTATTTTTATATAAAACAGGCACATCATTTTTATAAATTACATATAATCATCTATGATGTCTTACTTGAAAATTGCATCTAAAATTTCTGTTTTGCTTAATAACATTCAACACAATCCTCAGATGAAGAAATGATTAATCTCTTTTTAGGCACCATATTCTACAAAACAGCTCTCAAAATTAATCACTTTGAAAAAGCTGTATCCTTGGCAACACAGGGCAGGTTTGGAATTTAATAAAACACTATTAATAAAACTGTTTTCACAATGAAACACCAACAAAATTACCTAAAAAAGACCAGATGTTTTTCCTGTTTGTGCTGCCGAAGAAAATGCACCAACTGATTAAATTTTTCATCTGCTTTGCAGATCTAAACAATTCAAGAGAAAAAAAGAAAAGTAAGAAAACAGACTTCTGGTTCTTCCATTAATGTGATCCTAAGACTTAAAAACTTATTGACAGAACCAGGAAAAAAGGAGAGGGAACAAGCAGCTCTCTCAAAGCCCAGGTTCCCACCATGTAATAGTTCTCCAGGCGTGTGGGAGTTTTCTGGGTGTTGGTTGCTGCCACTCCCTTCTCCTTCACCGAGATCCGGACGGGATTCCGGAGCCCTGCTCTCACCAGGTTCTCCACCTCCTGAGTCTGAGTAGCTGAGAACAGACCTGTCCTTCTCTGCTTGGGCAAAAAGTCCAGGATGGCATTTAAACTGCAAGCAAGCACATGGAAAATATAACTGTCCCAAGGCTCCCCTCAGAAAGAGGTTTAATCACTGAAGGAAGAGTTTACAAGAATTTACAAGCAGAATAGGTTTTATCATCACATGCCAAACTCCTATTGAAATAATTAACTTAAACAAAGAGAAAAGGGAGATCAAAGCTTATTTGTTAGTGTTCTAAGCCATTCTGATGTGTGAGTAATGATGCTTAACCAAGCATTAAATAGAGATGTGTTAATAAACAACTTAAAGAGAGATGTGTTAATATACATGAGAACAAAAGAAATTTTAAACTCTGTATTCATCAAGGATCCACTTTTCCTGATTCTCTTCCCACTTAGCAATTGCTTTATGGAGCAAAGAGAGATAAAAGACAAAACAGAACAAACCGTTGCAGGCCACACTCATTCCCATCAATCATTTTAACTCATTAAAAACTTTAGGATTATTAGAATTTATTATTTCAATACCTGGCTTCAAAGCCCATATCTAGGAGTCTGTCTGCTTCATCCAACACCAACACATCAAGAGCCTTCACACAACTTGCAAGATCCAGCCCGTCTGCTTTTCTCCTGAACAAATCCTCCAGGCGCCCCGGGGTGGCCACGATGATGTTCCCACTGTTTGGGAGAGAGGCAAGGGAAGGAATCTGGGAGACCTGCTATTATTGGTATCCCAGAGCAGACCTGCCCTGCATCCTTCAATAAAACAAGTTCACTTTGTCACTTCTAACTGCATCCATATTGCAGGGCCTTTGACACTGGGATGGGAGAAAAAACTCCCAGGTGAAAGCAGATCACCCGTGGCAATAAAAGTTTAGGATATAATCAGCATCTATGGAATATTTGGTGCCTCCACACAAAAGCCAGTGGCAAATATGATTCCTTCAAAACTTCATCATTAGTATCAGCACCAAATATTTTCAAGAAATTAATGAGCAGGAAGAACTGAAATATTCAGTGCTGACAGTTTTCAGGTCTGTTCTTCACCCAAACAGCAGGTAAATGGTGCTGATGTCACATAAGATCCTTTCCCACTGTCTCCTTACTCAAAGACTCCACAATTTCCCAGCTACCCCCAACAGACTTTTGCAGCACCATCAGGACCAAAGTCCTGGTCTGGAATCCCTGACAAGGAGAAAACCAGAGCTCTGAGACACTGATAAAAAGCCCTGACAATCCACTCACCCGTGTTCCTTAAACTTTTCAACATCTTCCATTGGGTTCCTGC